TTGCTCAACCTCTGATTAAAAGATTTTTGAGAGGATTGAGTAATCTGCATCCAACTATAAGACCTCTAATGCCCACCTGGAGTCTTTCGGTAGTTTTACAAGCACTGACTCGATCACCTTTCGAACCCATGGCGACGATCGATCTACGCCTTGCTTCATGGAAGACTGCTTTCCTTGTTGCAGTGACTTCAGCCCGTAGATCCTCGGAACTCTGCGCCCTTCGGGTAGACCTCCCTTTTCTAAATTTTCGTAAGGAAAAAGTAGTTCTTCGGCTGGATCCGTCTTTCCTTCCGAAAGTCACTACTTCGTTTCACATGCAACAGGAGATTGTTTTACCGGCATTCTTTCCGACCCCTTCGAATCCAATAGAGCGATCTCTACATATGCTGGATATTCGTCGTTGCTTAGCCTTTTATAGGTCCAAGACTGAGTCTGTTCAGTGTTCCAATAGACTTTTTGTGAAATATTCGGAACATGACCGAGGCTGTCCAGTCACTTCACAACGTCTTTCGAAATGGATAGTAAATACAATTGTCCTGTCTTATCAGTTAGCTAAGTTGGACTTGCCATCTACTCCAAGAGGTCATTCTACAAGAGCTGTTGCTGCTTCTTCGGCCTTTGCATCAGGGGTCCCGATAAAAGATGTGTGCAGGGTGGCCATTTGGGCTACCCCATGTACCTTCACCAGACATTATAGACTCGATGTCCATGCCAGACAGGATTGCTCTTTTGGCAGAGCTGTCCTTTCTTCTGTCCTTCGCTGATGACACCTCCCTCCTCCACTTGGGGTAAGCTTGTTATTCTACCCATATGTGTGATGCACAGAGGCCACGACGAAGAAGAGCAGGTTGCTTACCTGTAACTGATGTTCTTCAAGTGGCCATCTGTGCAGTCACACAACCCACCCTCTGACCCCGCTTGGTGTCATGGGTGGTCCGACTATTTCCTTTCGATACTATGATCTCTTTGCTATGTGTCGTACCACTACTGAATTGGGCTATATTGTCATACTGACAAACCTTATTATAAAAATAAACGTCGGTCTTTCAAAGACTGGAAAATGGCGGACACTCCACTCCTTATATAATGCTAGGGGGGAGGGGGAGCGGAGTTCCCGCCAAAAACCGTTAGCTGTTAATCTTCCGGCCAAAGGCACTGTGCAGGCGCAGAACCCATATGTGTGACTGCACAGATGGCCACTCGAAGAACATCAGTTACAGGTAAGCAACCTGCTCTTTTCAAACAGTCTAAATCCAATCCAAGACTTTCTACTTGTACTATACTAATCACTGGGTACAGGGAATTTCAGAAAAATCTGTTTTGGAAGGTTAACCTGAGATGTGATGTTTCTGTGAGATTGAGCTCATACTATGAAAGATCAGAAGCAAAGCTCTCCTAAGAGTTGAGGTATTTGTGTAGGTATTGCTGAATTGTGTACAATTGTTCAGTAAGACAAAAGAAGAAAAATTAATGAACAACATTCCCAGTGGTGGAGAATGGGAAGGCTCCAAATCTCAGCATCCGAATTAGAACTGTTTGTGCAGCTCTGGTAATGACAGAGGTGCTTGGGCAAAGAACTCTTTAATACTTGTTTCTTTCCAAAGTAGGGCCATTGTGGTAAAGTTAGACCATATCAAGAGTGCAACCCTGTGTATCTTTATTCAAAGCTAAAGCCCACTGAGTTGGGTGGAATTTACTGCCAGCTAAGTGAGTACAGAATCATAGCTGTAATGAGGTACTAACCCCCCCCCCCCCCCCCCGCACACACACACTTTTCTACAGACCTGTAGGAAAGTATCCTGAGGTTCTGTTTTGGGCATAATGTGGCTCAAAGAGCACGTTGCATTAATTGCATTGGACGTAGCTGAAGCTTAGTTTTTTTTTGTCCTAGAGTTGGTATGCAAAGCCCTGATTCAGACTGGAGTCACTACATGCTAAGAAGAAAGGAGTAAGCCTCTCTTCCCAGTATTTGTTTCCTGAAATCCCCTCTGGATTATTGGGATTTAAGAAAAGGCAAAAACCCAAATTACCTTTTTTTTCTTCTTTTAACCTTTAGGTAGGTGGAGAAATTTCAAGAAGCAAATGTTGGGGAAACAGGTTTACTCTTCCCCTCCTGGTATTCAGTGACCAAAATATGAATTGGTGGGGTGCAAATTACTCTAAAGTAAACAAAAGATAAGTCTCCATTGCACCCTATGCATTGAACCCCGTATGTAGTAGGACGCTGTGTGTGTCAGTAAACAATTTTAAAAGAATGTCAGGCATCCTACCAAATAGCAAAGAATAACCAATTTTGAAAAATGCATTTTGCTGCATTCCCAGGCAACAGCATTGTGTTGTAAACATTCGTTAATCCATGCAGCTTGTTCATAAGTACGCAGACCTCATAGAGAATTGTTTTTATCGCTCCTCAGTGTTTTCGGGAGAAACACAGAGTGGCTGTAAATGGGGAAGACCTGTATTCAATTCAGTCACCAGAAAATAAGTATGATTATATATTTTTGTTTAGTTTGTCAGTGCACAATTTGTTGGCTTTCCAAAGCTTATCTTATGGTAGGGGAATACCACTGAAGAAGAAACACAGTCTCTGTAGAAGAACGCGTGTCTTCTTGTTTACTCAAGCATTCCAGGAGCTGTTTTCTCTCTCTGCTTAGGTATGAAAGAAGGAAAAGAAAGACCTAAATTGGACTGAACATAAGACGAAAGAATGGAAAAGGAGACTTGCTGCTACATGGAAGGAACCTCGATGTCAAGAGATGTTGCCAGAGGAGTCCATATACATGAACAGTGCATCTAGAATACTTATAGTTATTTATTTTCTAAAGAGGGGTATTGCTTTTGTGATCTGCTCTTTCTTCCTGATATCTCTATCTGTCTACGCAAGACTATATATGATGGATACAGCTACTAGGTCTTCAACACATGCTCTTAGGTATATCAAAGCTAAGTGTCTTTCCAGTGGCAGTAAGAAGAATTAAGGGGATCTGTTCTGTCTCTGGTTTGAAAATACGATAAAGCAGGCCAGCACTGAATCTGTGGGGGAATATTTTGCTCTGTTACAATGCTGCACATATGAAATAATGGTTTAACTCCCATTAGCCATCAAAGAGCTCTGTGCATTTTGGATCACCAAGTGGCTGGCAGCATGTGTGGGAAGCAAGGAAGGTCACCTGAAAGTGGGATTGGAGATGGCTGCACCTGGGAAGCACAGAACAGAAATTCAGACCTAGGGTGCGCGCATGCATGCGCGGGTCCACTGCCCCTCTGCTTGTAACATTTATTTTTAATCATTGATTGACAAAGTCATACACACTGATGTAACAAATGGTTTTAAATCAAGGGTGTTAATAATTGTATCAATCTGAGATTACAAATGAAACCTATCCATGTTCCTTAAAATGCACATTATTAAAGATCAAGGCATTCCCCTCCTCGATTCCCCTCAAAAGCTGCTGCTGCTCCGGTTTCTGCAGGGAGGGAGAGAAACCTTAAGAGACCCCACCTCATTTTCCTCACATCAAGAGGAGATGCCGGACTTTCTTTATCATCCTATCCTTTCCTAAACCCTTGATGCTGCTTGGGTAGACTACTGTAAGTTAATAATTTATTTGGCATTGCATGTACCATCTACCTTAAATAGAGGGGGCAAGGATTCTGGTGATGGAGGAAGAGTATCAGGTGACAGACAGCAGAGTCAGAACCAGCCCAACTGCACAAACCACCTGGGATCTCGAGGAGGAGCCATGTGCTTGAGCAGGCATGCCAGCAAAGCAGGACCTGAAGAGTATATTCCAGGATCTCTGGTGAAGTCCCAGAAGAAGGGTGGTCAGTGGTGATAGCCTCGGGACCATGCTAGTCTCCTGGCCATGAGCCAGGGCAGGAAGTGATTCCTACTTAAAACATTTTGGGCAGGACCATCAGGGGCAAGACAAAATAGTTGCTCAGGCCTAATCCTGTATGTGAGCCACTGGGTTGGCCATTCCTGTTCTAGACAAAAGACTTCAGGCCTGAATTGTTACATAACCTCATCCCATCTCAAGTGCTCAGGTGCTAGAATATAGGCAGTGCAAACTAGCATTAAGGACTTCACGACTGGTGGCACGCCCATGTGGATGTAGCCAGGGCATGCTTGCATACATACGTCCTCAACATTAATCCTAGAATATGTCACATGCATGTTTTAAAAACAAGTATTTTTCACTCAGGTGAAACTGTGGGAAATTCTCATCCTGCCTTCATGACAGCATGGTTGGGCTTCAGCTGGGGAGTGTTCTGATGAAGCCATTCCATGGGCTGCACCTCTTCCTAGAATCTTTCACTGGCCAGCCATTGCCACAGAGCAGAGTAGAGAGCAACATTTGGAACATGTGGTGCTTGATTTAAGAATGAGGCTTTCAGCTTCCCCTGCACAGACCCTGGGATTCCTGGGGGCAGCAAGCCTGCAAGAATCCAAGGTGGCAAACTGAAGGAAGAGAGCTGGAAAGGGAGCCTGTTCCAAATGCATAGAGCAGAATACTGGAAATAAGAATGGGCAATGAAGCAGGTAGCACTAGGAAGGTGGAGAGAATAAGAAGAGGTACCAAGAGGCAGCAAAAGAGATTTAAAAGGAGGATTTGTATGATACTTTAGCATGGAGTGCCAGGAACCATGATATTCTCACAGAGATGTTTTAAGATATACACTAGTAATATTTAGCTGTCTCCTAACAAGAGAAAAATTTACAGTGCAATCCTGTTCCTATCAAATCAGAAGTAAGTACTATTAACTTAAAAATGCATCTTTCTCCCAAGTGTGTGGGTACAGGACTGGGGTTGGTCCCATTAGGTCCTCTGAGCTGAAATAAGTAAAATCAAGACCGCCCTTGCCTGGGAAAGGTTCTTTTAAAAATGCACCAAAGAGACAGGCTTCCATTTAGTCACATATCTCTATTGGGCAATATTTATAGATAGTGCTCAAAGTTTAATGCAAGTTTTTTAAACACTTCAGTGGGGCAATGTAAATTAAAGCTTCACTATCAACAATGTGAAGTTCAGTTTGGTAAAAATAAGTACCCACAGTTTTGTTAATAGGATTTGAGTGCTTTTATATGGCAGGTTTGCATAAGTCATTCCCCGCTGTTGGGATGTGCATGTCAGTAGTCTTAAGTCTGTATTTCTCATTGATCTTTTTGTTAATTAAACCCTGGATCATGGCCATTGTCTGTACTTTACTCATGGTGAAAATGGCAAATAAATTTTTTTAAAATGAGGAAACGGAAGCACTGCAGAGCAGTCTGTGTTCTTCTTGTCAGAGGTGTCTGGTGTAGTTGGGGCAACATTTCCCTTTTACCACTGTCCACACTTATTTATTTATTTATTTAGAAAGCTTCTATGCCTTCACACTTCCTGATGTCATCTTCTCCAGCTATCCTTGCAGTATGCAACCTGTTGCAGTGGATGCCACCTTTGCTGCAGAGGTAATATTAGAAGCCCAAGGCCACAGGGGATGAGTTTGGACAGCAACTGTACTCAGGGAAAGTGATCCTGGCATGGTTAGGAGTGGTAGTGTGAACCCTCCATATGACTGGGGACATCAGACATTAATTTTGTGCGATGGAGGTCATATAAGGAAGTTTCCTTGGATGGCAACACTTGACCTTAGGCCTGGAGGTGGAGAGGACAAAATTCATTCCTTACCACTAACCATGCTGGCACATGCTTCTGAGAATTGAAGTTCAAAGCAACTAGAGATCTACCTCCTGCCCACCCTAACCTAGACACTATACTTCATGGTGATTATATTTGCTAAGCATATAATTGCAACATATTGATCAGGGTCTCAAAATAATGGAATGCAGCTTGGTAGTGTAATTCTCCACTGCCCCTCCATGCCAGTTGTGTGCCAGTGCAATTTGCCTAATGGGCTGTTGTAGAGTTTTGGGTGGGTTATTACCCATGGCAACAAGCCACTCTGGCTGGGTTCACATGCAATGTCTACCCATGCTGCTGAGAATAATCATTCAAATCCCTGCTGTGTGCGACCACATGTGCACGCAAGTGGGTGGGTGGAAAGAAGCCCCCGTGGCATTTTCTGCCTGTGATACTGTGAACCGGGCCATTGCACAGGATCAGTACTTCACCTCCCATGAATTGAAGTCTTTGGTCAACAGAAGGCTTTTGGTCAAGTGGAGGGGTGCCAGTAGCAGATGGAGAGGTTGTATTTGCCAAAAACAACCTCCACCCCAACTCCCATCTTTTTGAGCCCATGGCACTGAAGTGTTCTAGAATGCTGCAAACTCCCACAGTGCCACAGAGTATCAGTGAGTAAAAAGCTAGGAAATTCTCCCTATATATCTAGAATACAATACTCATATTAAGAAATTCCTTTCTTAAATCCAAAACAAGAAAGAAATAGCTCCACAAAACAGTTGTTTCTAGTATGAATGGGATGAACTTTATTATTGACCTAAGAATTCTTTATGGAACTGTGAGCTGTAGACCCAGAAGGTATCAAATGCTGCTTACTCCCTGCACCCAGGTTAAAGCTAATACTGTATATCCACAGTTCTGCATCCAAACTGTGAGCAGCCTACAGTGTCTGGATTATGTATAAATCCAGTTACAGACAGAGCATAAATAGATAAAGACTCCAAGGCCAAGGGACTTGCAGATCTCACCCTCAAATCATGCACCAAGTAAATTGTCCATTCGTCCTGTGATGCAAGTTTGCCAGTTACGGGCTAACTAGGAAGCCATTTTTACAATTATCTCTCTGTATCAGGAACAACTTTGTTAAACAGTTCCTTGGTTACATGCTGCTATTTATCTTCCCTTCATAACAGTTTTTGTTTACCTTTGTCAAGGAGCACGGATTGCTTGCCTTTGTCATGCTATTTTTGTCCTCCTGAGTACCATCCCACCTCTTCCATCCCAGTGATATGTAACTGTGAGCCAGTTGATACATCACAGGGGCAAAACATGGATTAAGCACTGGGTCCTTTAGGTCCGAGTTCACACATTACACCACTCAGAGGTTTATAATAGGAGGTGGTATCTAAGTGGTACTGATAGACAAGTCTTCAATCAAGCCAATCAGAGGTCCACTGCAGAAACTGGAAGTGGCTCTCAGGTGGCACATTCGCATAAATCATGGGTTAAATAACTCAGTGTGACTGCCATGGTTTGCAGACTGGCATTGTTTGGCATTGCTTAACATGAACACCAAAGCTTAGCATAAACACAACTAGTAGCTTCATATTAGGATTGCAGCAAGTAGAATTGTTGAAGATCCACGTGCATTTGTGAGTTTTCACCCAGATTAATTTAGAGACAGCCACAAACAGTTAAGCCAAGACAGACCCTTTGTCTTCTATTCTAAGCAAGCTCCATACCTAGTAGGATATCATATAAATCTTGCTATTTACGGTTCATGTCACATTTCATAGGAATTTCCTCAAGGATTCTTTTCTGTGATTCTTCTCACAACATTTAATTATGTAATGTTTAATGAGGCTGAATGCATGTCTCACACATTTGTGGGATATTAATCATTGCCCGAGAAACCAATAACATAGGAACGTGCACATACAAAATTAGTGAACTCTCTAAAGGGCTCATGATTGAACTATGGTTCATTCTAAATATATAATTGGAATTTCTTTTCCCTTCTTCCAGAAACAGTGGTCAAGTAAATGTTCTGGATGATCAGAAGGTGGGGTGGATATATTACTAAAGTGCTCTCATACGTCCATCTCCAATCCCTATGTTCAGATGAGGCTTCCCAGTTTTGTTTTATTTTTCAGTTGTATTATCTTTCCTCTGTTGTCTCCTCTGGGCCCAATTTTAGATTGGAAGCCTCTAAGGGCAAGACCCCATCCTCTTAGGCATTGTAAATTAGAGGGCATACTGATGGCTCCATAGAAACAATCTACCACAGTGTATTCCAATGCAGGGTAATTCATGTGCCATGGCTGAGATGTTTTTGATGATGATCTCCTGCCTGAGACCACAGCTCCTTCCACAGGAACCTAGGAAGCTGCCTCATATGCTGAGTCAGACCATAGGTCCATCTAGCCCAGGACTGTCTACTCTGGGTTTTCCAACAGGAGCGTTCTCAGCCCTAGTGGGAGATGCTGGATATTGAACTTGGGACTACCTGATTGCAAAGCAAGGGGACTGACACTCCTGCTTTTCTGTGCAGCCTTTTCGGGAGGCTGGAGAAGCTGCTGTGGGAAGGAGGCAGGAAAATCCATTTCCACCCACAGCTGATCTGCTGCATGTTTAGACAGAACAAGTGGGCTGGAGAATGCTGAGAGTTACAGGACTTTTTCTCTTTGAATATGCATAGGGTGGTGCCCTTAGGAACACCATCCCCTTGGATCTGTGCCTTTTGTTAAAAGTCCTGTTTCCAGTACAAAATGACCACAATAAGGATCTTTACAAAGGGAGTGTGATATTAACTGTTGGTATTTTTAATTGACTTCTAATTCAAGGCAGCACCCCCCTCCCACGCTCACCTGCAGTTTCACAATATAATATCCTGAATTAGAGCCAAACTGCACATTCATCTCAAGGGCACTATTGCAAATGGCCAATCCCATTCCAACAATATTGTCTGCAACTACCTTTTACATGGAACTCAATGCGAGCGTTTGATTCCCCAGTCAATTGGCAGGTCAATGGAGTCCCTGAAATACTAAAGCTGTTCTGATTAATATAGCAGCTTTCAAAATTTACTTGTTTTTTTTAAAGTATGCCTATGCATCTTCCATATAAGCTTTTTTGAAAATCACTCAAGATGCTTTACTGAATGAGATCACTGCTGTATCTTGGCCTGGTTGACTACACCATTTTTCAAAGATCTTGGAGAGAAGGTAGTCCTCAGAAATGTTTTTTTTTCCCTTTCACTGAAAATGCTGCAGGTTGAACTTGCTGTTTGCTCTGCCACTGAATTATGAACTACTTATTGTGATGTATGCCCACTTTAAAACAGTATATCAGTATAATACAAACTTACCTTGAGTCTCAACCATGTTTCACCTTTCAAGATCTACCACTTTTCAAAGGCATTTCCACACAACGGGCATTGCACAAATGAACACTTGATATGACTACAGCCCTTCTTACCATGTCTACTGCTGCAGGCACTAAGAATCCGTTATGCTCTTTTGACTGAAATACTCGCAGAAAACCTCATGTGGGAACTAGATCTAGGAATAAAAAAGCTTCTGAATTAAACACACAATACTCAAAGTTTGTTTGTGTTTTAGATAAGCACCCCTCCCAACACACACACAATGCAAGATGTACTGCACTACCTATTACAGACATCATGGGACAGAGGATGCACATCATTTAAGCTAACAGTGCTGAGCTCTCGCATTCCACCTCTTACTTCACCACTCCACAGATTGCAAATTTCTTTATAAAAAAAAACTTAGAAAATTCAGACCAATTTTTATTTTACAAGCTAACCTTTAATTCAGCAAGAAATCAAGAGTTTGATTTAACATTCCATGCACATGGAATTGCAGATTCTCACTAAAACTTATAAAACACCTTGATCTGGGCTGGTCATCATTTTGTTTCCTCTTGTTTCAAGCCTGTTACCCTCTTCTGCATTAGTACTGTCACATTCCCAGTTCTGAAGTGCTTCTCCTGCTATGTAGTGTTCTAAATGTCATGGAGCACGGCTCTAAGCAGCAAAATGTGTGTGTGCATGCAAGGACAATGCACCGACACGTTGTAGCAGCACATAGTATGTTGCATTGTCCTGTGCAGTTGCATTGTCCTGTGCAGAACCAAATTTTCCTTTAAAATAAGCCTTCAAGCAAAATAGTGATCCTTCTGCAAGCACTGGGAAATGTGTCTTCCCCTAAGTGATTTTAATGTTCAATTGCCATGAAGGCACTTAAAAATAATAGAAAGTGGATTTTCAGTGTATACATTTGCATAGCGTGGGATTACTGTCAGGAACTTAGAGCTGAAGATCTGGAGGCGGCATGAACTACTGCCAACACTTCAGTGGGATGGAGAAGAACCAATGCGAACAAAGGAGAATGTGTCTTTATAACTAAGATAATATAGCTGTACAAAATGATGAGAATGTGTAAATTGATCACATAATTTTTTTCCTGCATGTGTAAATGCAGATGTTTACAGTGTGTAAATTTGTGAAATTAAGTGTGTGGTAAGCATTTTCAGCTGCATGTCCCCTTTACGGGAATCAGGAGGAAAATGTTGCTATGGTAATTCTTCCTTTGACTGACT